AATAATGTGATAGGTGACAATTAATAGATTTTATTGATGATCACTTAATCTCTCTCTTTTTGTAGTTGTCTCAATGTAAGCTTACACAATTAAAAGAGAAAAATGATTGATACACACTTAGTTTAATATACTTTTTTAACATTTGTCTTAATTTAATTATTAAAATATAATATAAATACAAGTAATTTAGTCAATTTCTATATTCTGTATACATGACCGCATATTTAAATTTGTTCGATTTTAATTTTAGACAAAATAATAATAATTTTTAATGGGTATATCATGTAGTGTGTTGAATTAATTAGAATATGTACTAATTACTATGTTTAAAAAGGCAATTTAACAAAAAAACTAAAAATATAATGATTATGGCATGAAATACCTCATTTATCCCTAATAAGCTTTTCTCTTTATCATTATATTAGATTAATAGGGGTGATTTTGAAACAAAAGTGTTAATGTCTTTTAAATAAAATTAAAAAGTGAGACAATTAAATAAAACACTATAATTTAATAAATGAGACAATTAAATACAAATAGAAGGAGTATTTAAGGTCATGTAACATTGTAGGAAATGAATTACTATCAATTACCAAATATATATATATTTATCTTGAATTGCACAATGTCAACGATAGCTATTAAATTAAAATAATTTGTGTAACACTAATAATAAAATTAATAATAATTTTTATATTTTTAATCTTAATTACTATTAAAAGATTTTAATAATTATATTTTTAAATTATACCCTCAAACACAAATTAAAAAAGCATAGAAAAGATTACCACTAAATAAGTGATTGGCCACTTACACGTACCAAAGTATTTCTGTATCTGTGATGATAAGAGAAATAAAAAAAAAAAAAGGTGATGATAATGTGGGGAACGGTCAGAAATAAATAAAAGGGATGAACACACACTCTCATGGCACATAATTGCATCTCATGCTCATGCTTAATCATTTTGCTCCCCATCTTCGATTATCATGTATGCCGTATGCCCATTTTTTTCAACTTCCTCCATGCATCTTCTCTATTATTTTACTAGTATTTTATTAAATTTCCCGCCATTTTCGTTTCACTTTTTATTTTCATTCTCTTAAAAATTTTCCCCCTTTTTAGTTTAATGCAGTTTAATAGTGTTGGTCCCCCATGCCTGCAGTCCACAGACATCTCCGCGGGATTCTGTTTGTTGGGCATGCTTTTGTTTTTCTCTTTCTATTTTCCTTTATTTTCATTTATGAGTTTTTTTTTTCCCTAATTTATGATTACTTGTTTGTGAGTTAATTTTTATAGGGAAATGCTTTTTGTACTACATTTTTATTTCATTTTTTTGTACTACATTTTTATTTCATTTTTTTGTACAACATGACGTATTATTAAAATGATTAATTTTTTTAATTCATATAGTACCAGTGATATTGAATGTATCAACTTATTTAATGACATGTGGAAGTTGTATAAAAATGTGGAACAAAAAAGTTGTCTCAATAGCACCACCAATTTTTATATGGGAAATGATTTTTGTACAACATTTTTATCTCACTTTTTTGTACAACTTTACATGTCATCAAAATGATTAGTTCTTTTAATTCATGTGGAATCCATGACATTTAATGCATTCACTCATTCAATGACATGTAAAAGTTGTATAAAAAATGTGATAAAAAGGTTGATCTTATAACACCACCCTTTTTATATATTTCAAAATTAATCTTTTTAGAAGCAATCTTAAGGGTGCATTTGGTGTATTTAAAGAAACTAAATATTTTATGTGTTAGTTTTAAAATTGAAACTCTAAACATGACATATAAAACAATACTCACTTACCAATAAATTTATTTTTAGCATAATTTATTTTTATTTTAAGACAAATTCATTCATGACTGTTTTTAAAAGGTATCACTCAATAGACTTAATACGTGCCTTTTAAAAATAAAATTTCTTGGATTGTTTGACTTTAAAATATAAACCTTGAACCTAATTGACATCCAAATTTTTTTTTTTTCAAGTCCTTCAACTCATCTTATGACATCAAAGAAAAAAAAAAAAAACAAGAAATCTATTAAATTTAGAGACTAAGTATAAAAACATGACATTCTTGTAGTTTGCCCAACAGAAACTATACATTTTATAACTATTGATAACCAACGAGTATTCTCTTTATCAATAATTATAGAATGTAAAGTCTCCCATCACCTTTCTAATCAATAAAATACTTGGATCATAATTTTTAAGAAACTAACCCCTTCTATTGCTGAAGAACTGAGTTGAGCCAGAACTGTATAAAGAAAAAGTAATGTGCTTGTATTGTGGGCTATCGAACTAAGTGGTGGGCTTTTAATTTGCGTTATCTTGATGGGGGCATGATTGTAAAGCTCGTGGCTTAGGCTCGGTCTTATTTGAATGGGCCTAGTCTGCAATTAAGATGGGCTGCTTTCCATCGGGCTCATTTTAACTAGACTTCGCCTCTAAAAAGGCCGAGTTTTGACGGAGAATAATAACCGCATCTATTTTACAGTAAAAACAAATCAAAGGACACGCGTCCACACCAACTCGAACCTTGCCGAATATCCAACGGTCAGAAAAGAGTTACCCCCAACCTTATAAACGGGACTTTCATTTGCCGGTTAACTGTTCTTATTTTTCGGTTAAAAATTTTTTATTTTTGGGTGAAAATAGCCAACGGCGGGGGCAGCTGAGATCGGAGGCTCCTATTTTCCGTTCAAAAGCTTCAACTTCGAGTTCTTCTCTCAGCCTCAGGTAACTTCCACATCACAATTTCTTGACTTCTGTTTGGTTATTGAGAAAATGTAGGAAATACAAGAGGAAATCCAAATCATGTTTGAGACTTTCAGCACTCCTGCTATGTATGTTGCCATTCAAGCTGTTCTCTCTCTCTATGCCAGTGGCCGTACTACTGGTTAGCAATTTTACTCCTTTCACTATCTTAACTGATCAGTATAAATGTACATTTTATTTGAAGATTGTCCAACACAGAAAGAACTAAGCTTGCAAATCAATCATTGAGAAGCAACTTAATATCCATTTACCAATCATCAAGCTGATGGCTATTGCTTGCTATATTTTCTAGGAGTAGAAAATAGGTGCATTCTGGGTTTTAATAGAGAAGACAGCTTCTGTGGCTGATATGCCTGATAGCATTTTAAGAGGAGTTTACTGCTTTAAGAATATATTTTAGGAAGTTTTGTTTCTAACTTTTGAATCTATTATTACCTTATCTGCATCCAATTTCTGTCAATTTCATTTTTACTTCCTTGATTCAACTTCATTTTGTTAAGATTGGAATTTATGTAATCTAGTATCTAATCAGCACCGGTGTCTGCTAATTGTTATCTACTAATTATTCTGTAACTGTCTTTGTATAGGTATTGTTCTGGACTCTGGAGATGGTGTCAGCCACACTGTCCCCATTTATGAGGGCTATGCCCTTCCACATGCCATCCTCCGTCTTGACCTGGCAGGTTTTGATCTTACTGATGCCCTGATAAAAATCTTGACTGAGCGTGGTTACTCATTCACCAGTCACCACTACTGCTGAACGTGAAATTGTGAGGGACATGAAAGAGAAGCTGGCATATATTGCCCTGGACTATGAGCAAGAGTTAGAAGCCGCCAAAACCAGCTCTTCCATTGAGAAGAGCTATGAGTTGCCTGATGGCCAGGTCATCACCATTGGTTCTGAGCGCTTCCGATGTCCAGAAGTCCTTTTCCAGCCTTCCTTGATTGGAATGGAAGCTGCAGGCATTCATGAAACCACCTATAACTCCATCATGAAGTGTGATGTCGATATCAGGAAGGATTTGTATGGAAACATTGTCCTGAGTGGTGGATCTACCATGTTCACAGTAATTGCTGATAGAATGAGCAAGGAAATCAGTGCTTTGGCCCCAAGCAGCAAGAAAATCAAGGTGGTGGCTTCACCAGAAAGGAAATACAGTGTCTGGATTGGAGGCTCTATCTTAGCATCCCTGAGCACATTCCAGCAGGTATGTTTACTTTATGACTATGACATGATGAATTCGTACTTTGTGACAATTTATTTGCATGGTAGATCATATTTTCTAATAATATTTGCTTTAGTAACCCTCCCGGAGTACTAAAGTTTTTTCTCTGTCAAAACAATGCAGATGTGGATTGCAAAGGCAGAGTATGATGGATCTGGCCCGTCCACTGTGCATAGGAAGTGCTTCTGATTCTTTAAAGGAAAAGGTGTAAAACCATTATCCCTTTCAGTTTTGTTAACAGAAACAAATTTCAGCATATGGTTTTTTAAATCCACCCATATATTTTTTTTCTCTTAGATGCCCATAATTTCATGTAACAATGAACTGGAAGATGATAAGCGATTCAAATTCTTTCATTGTCATTTTCCCAATGTAATTTTTGTAACGAGCAGTGTCATTGGATGCCAAAGCTAAGGTTTTCCTTTAGCTAGTCTTAGAATTTAATTTTTTTAAATGGCTTGGATCTCCTCGATAATGATTTATTTTGTTGGGCGTTTTAGTCTGGAATTATAAACTTATTTTTTCTTGGGTAATTTTAGTAACATATTTAAAGAAATTAATTTTTTTTAAAATTGACATTAAAACTTAAATTATATATTCATTTATGAGGTTGATAATGATCTATTTGTATGACATGATGACGATGAAACATGGTTTGGTGGACCATTGGTTCAACATTTGAGCAGGAATTCAAAAAGCTTGTATGGTCGTATGGGTTAGAAGCAACGCGGAAACTTTGACAATAACTTCCACTAATTGTGGCCTCCCTTCTTTGAATTTCATGTTGATGGCTATTTCTAATTAAATGAAGTGGTTTATTTATACTCTAATTCTAACACATTTTAATTTTCCACCATATTATGGTCACCATCTACATCACTTACCTACTTCATTACTAACATAGCATTCATAATTGTAACAATATTATTTAAATCTGATTAGGTAATACTTTTCTCTTATAAAATAATTATGTCATTTTTTTATATATATATGTTGAATGAAGAAATAAATAAATAAAATTATTGTTTAAACTCTAAACTTTATATCCACTGTTAAGTAAAAACTATTTTATAAATCAAATTTAATATTTAAATCTGAAAATAAATATGTTATTTTTAGAGAAATTAGTTTTAAAATACTTAAAAATTAACAATAATAAATAGATAGTTTTTTTTAGGGTAATACATAATGATAATATTTTTGTTTTACCTTTTTATATAACTTTTACATAAATACATTTAATATCATAAATTTTATATAAATTAAAAAAAATAATTATTTTAATGACACGTCAATATATATAAAAAGATGAAATAAAAAAATTATTTAAATAGTATTAAAAAAAGAAAAAAACTGTATATTTCTCAACCGCCCAATTGCCGCCAGCACTTTTGACCATTTTTTCTCTGGGTGACAGAACTCAAGTTTTCAAGGGGAGAGACAGAGAAACAGTCCCCGGTATGGTATAGGCTCTAACGGTCATTTAATTTTTATTTAACTAATCATATTTATCTTCTGTAGTTAGCCATGTAATCCCCCATTTTTGTTTTACTTAAAAGAATTCTCTATGTAGATTAAGTCAACCCAAAAGTCAAGCACTCAAACCTTGTTTCCCAGAAGGCTGATGCAAATTGCTATTCCACGGAATCCTTCTTTATTGATAGTTGATACGATTTGCCGGGAGGTCCTGTTACATGACAAGGCTCCTTCTCGAATCCCAAAAAGATGGAGCTCCTACAACCCTCCCATCCGATCCACCACGGTCCGCTCAGAAACCCCATTTCTGGGTTCACGCGTACGGTCCGTTTTGGGCACGCGGTTGATACTATGTTGACCTCACGGTTGTCGGAGATCGTTGAAGATGGTTGCGGGAGTAGGGAAAAGGAAAGGGTATGTGTTGCTGTCGGGAAGTCTGTGGAGAAAGCAGCAAGCTTGCTTCGATGGACTTTCCAGCAGTTTGGTGTCAGAGATGTTTGTTTGCTTCATGTTCACCAGCCCTCTCCGTTGATACCCACTTTATGTAAACGCGCTATCTCCCTCTCACCCACCATTTTTTTTTTTTTTCTGTGAATGGAACAATTGCTTATTATCTATTTTTGAAAATTGTTGCTTGCTGATGGGTAATTTGATGTGATCAATTATTTCTCAAAAGTGGAAATTGGGTAGCTTTAATTAATACAAAATTTCCTTTTAATTAGGATTCTAATTGAGTAATTTGGTTTTTCTTTAGTTATTTATTTTGAGGAAGTGTTGTGAATTATATTGTATTCATGATTTTGCAGTAGGGAAATTACCAGCAAGTCAAGCCAATGAAGAAGTAGTTTATGCATACAGAAATGAGGAGAAGGAGAAAATGAAGAAGCTTTTAGAAAATTACATGAGCATTTGCGGAAGAATAAAGGTTTAGCATTGCATCTTGCCTTTATCTGTGTATAATTCCTATAATTATTCCATTTAGAAACAAGAATCAATGAAATCACTCACATTGAGATCTCTTATCGTAAGAAAATCAGAATTTAAAGTCTGCTCTATATGACATGTAATTAGTGCCAAACAAGATTGATGTTGGGCATTTGTCACTTATAAGAATGTTTTCTCATACCTGTCATTTTGACATGATGGTAAACCTATTTCTATACCTAGAAAATAAAAATTTTGCTTTTCATTCTCCATTTTCTGATGACCTCTCTTTTAAAAATTCACTTTGCAGGTAAAAGTGAGTGTAATCACAACTGAAGCTGATCAAGTTCACAAAGGAATTATAGAACTGGTTGAAAAACATGGGGTTAGGAAACTTGTTATGGGTGCCATGCCTGAGAAGTAAGTAGTGTCCATCATTTATAGTCCAGGCTGTTTATGCTTATCCTTTAACGGCATCTGTTCTGGAATACATTTCAATTCAATGGGTCCCCAATTAATTGTTTTTCATAACTTCTACCCTCTAATGCTTAGTGTTGACAGTTTCAAAGACACCAAAGAACCACTCAAGATGACCTAAGTGTTATTCATGTCACATGCATCAGAAATATTGTTTTCTATTTTTCAAGATAGAACTATTACTTATTAGTACCTTTCTTTCTCCTGGTGTTGAGTACAGTTGCATGAGGATCAAGAAGAGCTCCAGCAAAGCAAGTTATATTGCAAAATATGCTCCATGGTTTTGTGAGATATGGTTTGTTAATAAAGGGAAAAATTTATGGACGAGAGAAGCCACTGAAGACCCAAGTTTGTTGCAATGTGATATGAGCAACACATCAATCCACACAGGAAGTTTTGGGTCCAATTCTGCTACTAGCAGCATCACCCTTCCCTCAGATTCTGACTCCAAGGATGAAGAAGAAAGTCTTAACAATCAGCTTAGAGAAGTAAGATTAGAAGCTGAGGCATCAAAGAATGAAGCATTTTCAGAGCTATTGAAGTGCAAAAAAGTGGAAATAGAAGCTATGGAAGCTGTCAGCAGGGTAAATACCCAGAATGCAGGCCCTTATTTTTCTGATTTGTTAATGTGTTTTTGATTTCTTGTTCTCTGTTTTTGGGCCATTAAAGGTAGAATATCTCATTGTTTTTCTTTTCCAGCTCAAATTTTTTGAATCTGCCCATGCTCATGAAGTTAAACTTCGAATGGAAGCGGAAGAAGCACTGAGAACTACTGTAAATGAGCAAGAAAAGCTTGTGGAAGAGAAAGAAGAACTAGAAAGAGAGCTACAGAAGACCTTGAGAAATATTGCTCTCCTGGACAGCCATGCACAGGAAGTAAACTCTAGGTGTGACGAAACTGCTAGAGAATTTAAACTCATCCAGGCATCCATTGCGACTCTGCAGCAGGAAAAGCAGAAAATCCGACGGCAGAAAATGGAAGCCGTGCGTTGGCTAGAACGTTGGAGAAGTCGTGGTGATGATGGAACTGCTAATTGTGATGGATTCATGGGGCTCGTTGAAGATTTGCCTGGTTTGGCAGAATTCTCACTGGCAGATTTGCAAACAGCAACATGCAATTTTTCTGATAGCTTCAAAATTGGAAAGGGAGGACATGGTTGTGTTTACAAAGGGGAAATGTTGGGTAGAACTGTAGCTATAAAGAAATTGAATCCAACTAGCATGCAAGGGCAATCAGAGTTTCAGCAAGAGGTTAGCCTCTTTCTCCTATCCTCACCTCCTCCCAAACCCCCATTAATTCCAGTTATAGTTGGGGTCTATGGCATGAGATTACGGATCTGCAAGGAGTGTTTTAGACACTCTCAAAACTTGAGACTGTTAAACATCAATATCAAACTTCACTGGCCAAAGTTTAATCATTCCTTCAACATATTAGTTGCACTTGAAGGTGCCACCTAACCTGTTGGACAAGTCTCTTGGCTTGTAGTGCCCACCATTTTCAGGTCCGGGAAGATGATGGGATGACATATCCTATACAGTTTTTTACCTTTCTACTTCACAGTGGGTTATAGCCACTTCCCATCCAAAAGAATGCAGTTCTAAACATCCCCTCCCCCTCTCCCTTTTTTGCCAAAAGAATGCAGTTTTAACTTGATTGGAATTCTCCATCAATATTTTAGACTTTATAAGTGTTATTACACCTGGAAGACAGAAATAGGCAAGCCATAGTAACAACTGACCCTTAGTAAAGCTCCCACATTTTATGGCTCTCCAAGATTGCTTGGTGCTTCTAATTTTCCATTCTGATTCCTAAATAACTTTTGTATTTGTTTTGTAGGTTCAAGTTCTTAGCAAGTTGCAGCATCCTCATCTGGTGACTTTGCTTGGTCTATGTCCTGAAGCCTGGTCTCTAGTATATGAATACTTGCCCAATGGGAGCCTCCAAGATCGCCTTTTCCTAAAAAGCAACATTTCTCCCTTGACTTGGAAGATCCGGGCTCGGATAGTAGCTGAAATCTCTAGTGCCCTTTGCTTTTTGCATTCTTCCAAACCTGAAAAGATTGTCCATGGTGATTTGAAACCTGAGAACATTCTTCTTGATTCAAAGTTGAGCTGCAAGATATGCGATTTTGGTATCTGCAGGTTGGTAACGGAGGAGAGCCTTTTTAGTCCTAGTTTCCGGCGGATTTCAGAGCCAAGGGGTGCCTTTCCCTATACAGATCCAGAGTTCTATAGGATTGGGGTTCTCACACCCAAGTCTGACATCTACGCTTTTGGGCTGATTATTTTACAGCTACTGACTGGAAAACCACCAGTTGGGTTGGCAAGTGAAGTGAGAAAAGCTGTATCAAGTGGTAAATTAACTTCCATTTTGGATAAATCAGCAGGAGAATGGCCTTCGTTTGTTGCAAGGCGCTTAGCAGACCTGGGGCTGCAATGCTGTGAACTCTACAGTAGGGATAGGCCTGATCTCAAACCATCTGTAGTGAGGGAATTGGAGCAGTTGCATATCTCAGAAGAGCGACCAGTGCCATCTTTCTTTTTGTGCCCCATCCTTCAGGTAACTTATATAACTGAATCATATACTCAATATTATGTTGGTAATTTGTGGGGATGGTTAACAGGCTGAAAATTGAGCTTGATTTTGGTATTCTCATTCCAACCTCATACTGAGCTAAATTAGCTCACATTGGCTGAAAACTCCTGTGGTTGCTCAATGTCATTGAGCTAACCATGGCAAAACAAGCCAGATTTTGATCATTTCCTTTGCTTCACGAGGTACTTTGAGCATGCTCTGACAAGAAACTGGATCTTGGATGGTGCTCAAGATCCATCCAATCTCAAGTTACCGCCTTGATCTTGACATGTTTATACCTTTTTATTTGTTCCCCTGAGATTCCCCTAACTTGCTGTATCTATAGTTCCTACATATGCTGTGTAAGAAAATTACTATATAATATGTATTCACCAGCTTACATATTGCATGGTTTGCTTATCCAGGAAATAATGCATGACCCTCAAGTGGCGGCAGATGGATTCACATATGAAGGAGAAGCCTTGCGCGGCTGGTTTGAGAATGGCCGTGAAACTTCACCAATGACTAATTTGAAATTGCCTCACCTGAATCTTACCCCAAACCACGCACTGCGCTTTGCAATTCAAGACTGGCTTTGCAGATCTTGAACTCCATCATTTCTTATTCTGTATATATATATGTGGCTTGTATTATTCATCAATACAGAGTCATCCCTGGCTTTGCCTTACCAGCGTAGGTTACACAACTGTGAAAGTTTCCACTGATCAAGTATCTTTTAGTATGTGTTAGTTTTCTATCCAACCTGTACCACGCAAAAACACTGAGCATAATAATATTATGCCAGGGCAGAAAAGTCATGACCTGTATTAAATCATCAATAAAGATGTAGTGGAATTTTGGCCAGTTACAAGAACATGAATTTGAGTTTCTTTATAAGCTAAACTTAAACCCACATCACAAGTTGAGAAATAAACAACAAAGCACTTAGATGCTTAGCTGACTACAAGAAGTAGTAGGATAAGATCTTCTCATGAATATCTTAACATCATAGCAAAATGCCATTTCATGCAGACAGCAGAGAAGCAGCCATATGATTCTCACTGTTGTTGAAGAAGGGATGATCATTTTCCATCAAGAACCCTGTCCGGATTCCTTCATTCATGCCCACTAATAGAGGGTTAGACTCCCTGGTTGCAGTCCATTCATGCACTTCTTCTCTGTCAGGCGCCACATTTTCATTGCAACTCTTTTGGAATTCCGGGACCTGAACTTTCTGTTCATCACCAAAACTGCTCGACTCCAAATTCTCCAGTTTGTTCTCAGACTTGAGGGCTGCATCCTCGTTTCTTTTCTGTGAATTTCCTAATTTCTGGATCAAGCTTCCTCCATCTACAGGTTCAGAAAGCTGATTTTCCTGATTTTCATGCTGGGAATTGCATCTTCCATAGAGTGAGGATGAATCATGCAAAATCCCTTTTGTTGAAGAAGACCTTTGTAAGAAACTCCCAAAACCTTTAATCCCTCTAGTTAGCTTCCGAGCTCTGTCCCTCTCTTCCTTCAAAACAGGTCCTTTCTCCAACAGTTTCAAAATTCTCTCCGATTTCTTCCTAACAGTAAGCCCCCAGTTGAATCTGCACAACAAATTTCAGATCATCTAAAATCATCACAAAGATCGGAGAGGGTAAAGATGTAAGACAAACCCTTTCTCATCTATGTATTGAAAGCTTTGCATCTCTACGATGACAACTCTGTCAGCCTGAAACTCCTCTGCTGCGCTCTCTGGTCCATGAGTCAATAAGTGCTCAAGAACCAACACAGAATTATAAGATACCCTCCAATTCTTTCTATCAAATTTTGACAATCTGATTCATACCCACAAGAAAACACAGAAGGAAAAGAATTTTACATGGATCAATCAATCAATCCCATCATTAACCATTTCATGCTCACAAACCAAAACATTTAAACTTAACAAACCTCTTATGTAAGATTTCCACAATTCTCAAGTAATCATCTAATTCAAAAGCAGCCCTTGAAATCGAACCCAGAGTCCTGGCGTCCGGTGCCCATGAATTCCCATTTGTAGCCTCTTCAGTCAATCTTCATACAAGAAACCCAGCACAAAAAACAGAAGCCCCAATCAGATTTGAACTCAGACTCAAAAAAACACATAGGTAGTATCGCTTAAACTTACAGCTGTGCAGGTGTGACATCGGTTAAAGCTAATCGGGCGGTTTTGATCTTCTCCTTGAAGAAGAACGAAGCTTGTTTCTTGAATTCATGGAAGAAAGGAGTACCACCCACGGCACTGCTACTGTTCTTGCTCAAGATAGACATGGCTGTTGGGATTAGAGAAATGATGATAAGAAATACAATCTAATCTAGATCACAGTCTAGGAGTAGGAGGAAGGTTGAATTTATAGCTGCGTCACGCTGAATTTACTGATCTGATAAGGGAGGTTTGAAAAAACTTCTAACATTTATTAAAAAAAATGGGTGCTTTCTATCTGATTTCTGGGGGAAATCCATAACAAAAAATTATGGGTTTGATAGAGGAGAAGATTTCAACGCTGAAATTTGGAAGCTTTGTTACGATCAGCCAAAGGCGGATAAAAAATATGGAGGTGAAGTCAACAGCAATGTGCCTTCGAGGAATGCTCGCTGCACTCGCCTTTCTCCAGCACTCTCCAACACTCCCTCATGTAAAGTAGCCACGTGAACCTTTTTAAGTTGGAAACTTTGAATTGCGAGCCAAATTTTGTTACGTGGACATTTTACATGAGAGAGTGTTGGAGATTGCTGGAGAAAGGCGAGTGCAGCTAGCATTCCTCATGTGCCTTCATTGCAGCGGGTGCTTTGGTTTGAATTTGAACCATTGTTGCTAATTCCAGACAGGTTTTTACGTTTTCCAAGCACTGGTTTTGTTTAGTTTCCAAAAATGTGTTTGTCGTTTTCTTCTTCTTCTTCTTCTTCTTTTTTTTTTTACATTTATAGAATATTGTAATAAATAAAAAATACACAAGAATTAAAGATGTTTGGTACTCCTCCATCATAGAATAATTGTTTTTTTATTCTTGGTATAAATAAAAAGTGAGTTTTTCTATATAGTTAAGTGTATAAATAAAAAATATATTTTTTTATATTAATTTATATAAAAATATAAAAATTAATTTTAATTTTAATATTATTA